AACTCATGTTGCTCCTTTATCCATTCCTGCCTGTGTGCCTTAGGATGAAGAGGGGGTGGACCTGGGCCTTCCTCTGAATGCCCAGCTGGACTGTGCTCTTCCTCAGTTTCCTCCACAGCCACTGGAGCCACACTCCCACTCCCTGTTGGCTGTTCCACCTCTCCCTCAGAATCAGATTCCAACAGGGGCATGACAGAGCCACACAGGTCCTAACCAGAAACCTCCCAGAGCTGGCCAGAAGTCTGGTTTCCCCACCATAGTGTCTCTTCCTAGCTCAGCATGCTTTTTGCTCTACCTATCCTAACCAAAAGCCCTATCAATTGAGAGACCGACTGGTGACAAGGAGTTGCAGGAGAGGGATGAAAGAGCCACATGCGGCTCCAGAGCCATGGGCTGCCAACCCCTGATCTAGGACAAAGAGAAGAGAGAACATTATTATTTTAAGCAGGTTGGAACCATAAGAACAGAGAGGACTGTTTCTTATCAATAGGAAGGATGACTTAAGAGCAAAAAAAGGTGACTACATTCTATTTGCCCAATACAGGTAGTCCTCAACATATGACTACAATTGGGCCCAACATTTCTGTCGTTCAGTGAATTTTGCCCCATTTTACGACCTTTCCTGCCACCCCCATTAAGTGAATCCCTGCAGTGGTCAAGTCAGTAACACTGTTGTTAAGTGAATCTGGCTTCCGCGTGGACTTTGCTTGTCAGACGTTTCAAAAGACCATCACGTAACCCTAGGATACTGCAACTGTCACAAATATGAACCAATTACCAAACATCTGACCCCAGGATCTTATGGATGCTACAATAGTGTGAAAAACAGTCTTAAGTCACTTTTTTCAGTGCCGTTGTAACTTTGAACGGTCACTACATGAACTGTTGTAAGCCGAGGACTACCTGTAGATGACTTAGAGGATGAGACATTTATGGAGTACCGTATGGAGTACTCTAGTACTGGAGTACTAGGTAGGTTTATCTAGCCTTTAAGGAAGTTGTCAAATGACTATTTTTAACAAAGATGGAACCAGCCCAACATTAACCCTGAATTGCTGATTTATTCTGCTGTTGACTCTCCATCTGTCGTTTAACCAGAGGTGATGAACCATAGCTCGTTTATGACTTGTGGACTTCAACTCCCAGAATTTCTGAGCCAGCTATGCTTGCTCAGAAATTCTGGGAGTTGAAGTCCACAAGTCATACTGTTGTGGCCTGTCGGCCGCTGGCCCCTTCGGCAGCCAAATCAGATGAGGAGGCAGCGTGGGAATCAGGGCCGGCATTAAGGCGACTTAAGAGCTCTGAGGGGCAAGAGGGAATGGAGCTGTCAGAGATAAAGGCAGAACCTAGTCCATCAACCCTCAGATGGGAGAGTCACAACAGCCCCCCCAGATCTGGAGGTGGCTGGTGAGGAAGAGGAGGAACAGCTGAGACCAGTGCCTGATGCACAAATGTGCAGAAGGCAGAGGAGAGGAGAGCAGTGGAAATCTATGGGCCGATCCTTGGGACAGAAGAACCACCATTGCTAGCAAAGGCCCACCCTAACTCTGGGGATAAAAGGCAGGGGGCGGAGATGAATAGATGTGGCAGATTCATCTCCCTGCCGGTCAGCTGCTGATAGCCTGCACTCCTGAATCCTGTCTGGAAATTATCAGAATTCTTCTTGGAATCTGCAGCACCTTCTGAGCATGTGTGTGCATGTGTGTGTGCTGCTGAAAGAAAGCGAGTGCACCTTCCAGGACTTCCTGTGTGAGAAGAGAGAGAGAGAGAGAGAGAGAGTCCTGATGTGTTGGACCAGTTCAGGGAGAAAGAGAGCGAGTGTAACTTTCCACAGAACCAGGGGTGGGATTCAGCCGGTACGGACCGGTTTGGGTGAACCAGTAGTTCTGGCAATTAGTGGACCCCACCCACCCGCCCCTGCCCTAGTCTGTCCTATGTTTCTGTATTTTTCAGCCCAGCTGATTCGCGCGGCACAGTGCATTGCCACGCATCAGCTGTTTTACTCATTGGGGCTGCAGCAGAAGGTAAGTTTTAGAGCTGAAAATGAGTGGCTTTGAAACGTACACATGCGCACACTCACCAAACAGTTGTTACACCAGTTGTATCCCACCACTGCACAGGACTTAGAGATTTTGTTAGCCTGCTATGAGAGAGTGGCCACCGGTGCCTCCTACTAAAGGGAATGTTTTGTTAACTGCAAAGGACTTGTCGTGTTTGGGAGCCAGGTCAGAACATAAACGGGCCACTGGTTCCTCACCCCTGACCTGAACCCATGAGATTCTGTCACGCGACAGCTCCTCCAATGAAATACCCACACTCCAAATTGTACTTCGGTAGATTTCAAAAGCATAGTGTGAAAGCTGATGTGGCCTCACATCCATTTCGAGTGGAGGCACATTAGAACATAGACATATGGACGTCATTGTGGGGGTAGCGCACAGATGGTGCACAACCAGTGCTAAGTAAAGATAAGGAAGCCAATTAAAGCTTCGGCCTGATCATTCTGGTTGCTAGGCAGATACACGGAACACCAATCTGAGCTTCCCTCATTTCAGGTCTGTGACAATACAGGTAGTCCTCGACTTATGACCACCACTGACCCCAACCTTTCTGTTGTTCAGTGAGGTAACCTTTCTTGCCTCTGTTGTTAAATGAATCACTGCCATTAGTAGCCTGTTGTGGTTTGCCAGAGCCCTGAGAAACTGGCAGCAGACTCGGACAGTGGGGAGGAACATGGGCCGGTTCTGGAGTCTGGGCAGGGCTCGGACGAGGTCCTGCATCTGACCCAGAGATGGGGCCAGGGCCATCTAGGAGTTACGTGCTGACTCCGGAGCCTCCAGAATCTGACATCAGTGAGGCAGAGGAACAGAGGGAGCCTGTTCCCAGTGTGCACTTGCGCAGAGCTGCCAGAAGGCAAGAACAGCTAAGACAAAAGGGGTGACTCGGGAGTAAGGCTTGGAGATGATTGGCCCCTCCCACAAGACATAAAGGAGGAGCAAAGGGACATGAGCCTTTGCAGGAAGCAACTTTGTTTGTTCTGGTCGGTTTAAACTCTGAAGCTCCGTGTTGACTTTGTGATCCATTTGGCCTTGTAAAACATCTAATTGGCAATTTAGTCATTGGCAGCATTTCAAGGGAGATAAAGGTGGGTGATTATCAGCCTTATCCTGAGGGACTCTGACAGACTTCTGTTGGACTATTCCCTGTTTGGGACTCGTTACGGGCTATGAATGCATGTAATTCACAGCCGTTGAAATAAAAAGAGGATTTTGGGACTAAGCGAGTGATTGTTATGGTCTCAGGAAGCCTCAGTCAGAACATAATCCGGCTCTTAAGTGAACCAAGGCTTCCCCGTGTGAGAAGGTCGCCGAAGGGGATCACGTGACCCCGGGGACAGTGCAACTGTCATAAATACAAGCCAGTTGCCAAACATCCAAATTCTGATCCCATGACCCTTGGGGATGCTGGAACGGTCGTAACTGAAAAACGGCCCTAAGTCAAAAAGGTGCTTTTTTCAGGAGGCAACTGGGCTTTCCTGTTTTTTTTTCTTCAACTTCACTACAATTGTTAAGTGAATCATACAGTCATTAAGTGAACCTGGTTTCCCCATTGATTTTGCTTCTCAGAAGGGTTTGCACAAAGTGATCGGATGACCCGGGGACACTGCAGCCATCATAAATATGAACCAGTTGCCAAGCACCTGAATTTTGATCATGTGAGCATGGAGAGGCTGCAGTGGCCATAAGTGTGAAAAACGGTCATAAGCCACTGCTTTCAGTGCTGTAACACTGAACAGTCACTGAATGAGCAGTTGTTGAGGAGTACCTGTATCCTCAATTTCTTTGAGAGTACATCCTTGCCGTAGAACAGATAACAGAATAACAAGAGTTGGAAGGGACCTTGGAGGTCTTCTAGTCTAACCCACTGCTCAGGTAGGAAACTATACCATTTCACACAAATGGTTGTCCATTCTCTACTTAAAAACCTCTGGAGGGAAGCTGTTCCACTGATTAATTCTTCTCACTGTCAGGAAATTTCTCCTTATTTCGATTGGTTCTGTCCTTGATTTTTCTGACCTAGGCTTCCCAAGATCATGAAGCAGACTCCTCGTCCCGATAAAACCCCTTTTATTTAGATTAAAGTGAATTCCTCTCCCGCAAAGTCCCAGCGAACAGTCTTTCATGAGATTTCACAACTACAGACCTTTATCTGGCTTGGAGAGTTGCCAGGCCAATATCTTCCAAATGCCACGCTGTAGCAGCAATTACTTGACAAGAAGTCAGGAACAGATCTTCACCCTAATAAATTGAACTAATTGTCTCTTGCAAACACCACTCCCCCTTTCGCTCCTCTTTATTCCCTATGGAAGGGGGCCATTCGCCGTCCACCGGAGCCTTTACTCCAGAGTCGATCCTTGTTCCTTAACTGTTCCCTTCTTCTGGCAGTTCTGCACATGCGCACACTGGGAACAGGCTCCAGCTATTCTTCTGCCCACACTGATGTCCGATTCCGAAGGCAGCTGATAAGAGTCAGATGGCCCTGGCCCCGTCTCTGCCTCCAACGCAGAGCACTTGCTGGCCCATGTTCCTCCCCAACCTCCTCACTGTCTGAGTCTGCCACCAGCTCCGTCTCTGCCCTGGCCCCGTCTCTGCCTCCAACGCAGAGCACTTGCTGGCCCATGTTCCTCCCCAACCTCCTCACTGTCTGAGTCTGCCACCAGCTCTGCCGGCAGGCCACAACATTGATTAGTTTCCATCTATTGCTTCATGTTCTCCCTTCAATTGCTTTGGACAATATATTGACCCCCCTCTTCTTTGTGGCAGCTCCTTAGATATCGGAAGACCGCTCATCATGTCACCCCACATCCTTCTGTTCATTAAACTAGACATACCCCATTCCAGCAACGGTTCTTTATACCTTTTAGCCTCCAGTCCCCTAATCATCTTGGTTGCCTAGTTTCATTCAGCTGGAACTCATTCGGTCGGTGGTTTTTTTCCTAGGTCACCATGAAGAATTTGTCCACTCAAGAAGTTGCCACATTCACCTACAGTGACTGGCTCTCCAAGCAGTGGGGCGACAATCTGGCTCTCCGGTGTGAGATTGCAGCGATGATCAATGATGAGCTGATGATGGAAGAGACAACGTATGTTATTCAGGTGAAAACCAGCAATATCGGAGGTGCGTTCCTATTGGGAATTTCTGGTGTAACTCAAGACTCTCGTCCACAATTCTATTGCCACCGCAGGTTACAGGTAGCCCTTGACTTACAGGCATGGCTGTCTTAACACATGGGCCTGATGGGCACTTGCCCGTAAGCCCCACAAGCATAGGGGCCCCATACTAATCTCTGTATGTTAACCCTTCAGTGCACCTTGTATCCTATAAATACAGCAACATGCTTATTACATTTGATTGCATTTGTTATTAATACTAACACGCAAATATATGTTTAATTTTATCGACCATTTACATTTTTATTCCTGTGAGTAGTTGTCGAAGGGGGCCCCAGTACACTGCTTTGCCCAGGGCCCATAATGCTGTGAAGGCGACCCTGCTTACAGGACATTCGTTTAGTCACTGTTCGGAGTTACATGAATTGGCATCCTTCAGCCTCAAGAGAAGATGGTATCATGCTATGAAACCGATAACTGCCACTTCCCATGTTGTTGCAATGCTGTATGCAAAGCGGGAGTGTCCTCTCCAGATGTTCTGAGCCAAACTTTGTTCCAAAGAAACAAACACCAAACAGAGATCAAAGCAAAACCTTTTAATGCCTCTCTGCGAAGTCCATTCATTCACAGTTAAAAGGCTATTAAAACTAATTGTCTCTGATAAGAACAAGCCTTGCCAAGGTTGTGCAAGGCTGCCAAAAGCACTGGATTAAGTTGCCAAAAAATATTCCAAACAAAAAGTCTTCAAACACAAACCAAGATAGTCTGAACTTCCACAAGGCTTGAAGTGCAAGAACTTCTTTGCTTCCTGCAAAGAACTCCAGTTTCTCAGCTGGCTTTTATCTCTTAAGGGAGGGGCCATTACCTTGCAGCCTTATTCCCGAGTTGCCCGTGCTGCTGCAGCTGCTCTTTCCTTCAAGCAGCCCTGCACACACACGCACTTGGCACAGGCTCCTCAGGGAAATCTTCATCATTGCTGCCAGCCTCCACAATCTCCGAAGGTAGCACTCCACTCCCTGATGGTCCTGGCCCCATCCCTGCATCACACACAGGCCCCTCATCTAAGTCCTCACTCTCCGAGACCTCAGCCGTCCACACCTGCTGCCGGTGAACCACAACACCAGAGCACGAGGGCTGGGTAATTTAATATGGAGGATAAACTGTTACCCAATAAGAAGATTTCCCCTCTCTCCACATCCCTGAAATTGCCTAATGGAATGGCAGAGCCGATACGATGAGTTCCAGCTGCGTTGCAGGAGTTACCCGAACGTGATTGTACACAGTCACGAACTGCTTCCGGGGCTCAGGCTCCGAATTTTGCCTCGAGGTTGACTCCTGAAGCCTTTTCCAATCATAGATATAGCCACAAGGCAGTGGAGGTTTGAAATCAAAGTTTCCCTTCTCCTAGAACAGAGGTCTCATTCTCGCGGCCTGCAGGCCAATTGCGGCCTGCAGGACGATATCCTGTGGCCCCCACCGTGATATGAAAGTATAACATTTGAGAATATCTTTTTAACAACGTTTTTTGTGGAATCCCTTATGCGGCCCAGCCTCACCCAGACTCTGCCTCCAGCGGCCCCCAGGTAAACTGAGTTTGAGACCCCTGTCCTAGAAGATGCTTGTACCATTTTATCTGCTGTTGGGGCATAAAGCCTTCTTCCGCCTTAAAAAACTGTTGGCCATCTTTTCCTGTAACCCTGGAAAGGGGCCCTTACGAGGTGCTACTAGCCAGGCCAGCTGGACCAAGGTTTTCTAAGGAGGTATTACTCCTCCAGCACTCCTCCTCACTCCAGGAGGCCCAGCTCGGCTCCATTTGCAGTGTCCGTTATCTTCCAACAGTCACGATTCAGAGTTTTGCAGTGTTAATTCAGCGCTGGAAAAAATAAACGCAGATGGCTGACGCTTCATTTAACATCTTTATAAACATAATAAGTAGATTTTACAAACCAGTTGTAGATTTCTCCAACATGGAGCAAACTCAAGACAGAAACATGTTGCAAGTAACTTCAGTAGCACACAGAAACAGACATCAGTTTTACTTCAGTTCAGCAGGCAAGCAGAGGAGAGAAGCAGTTTCATTTCGATAGACAGACTCAGAGCTCAACACAGCTGCAGAGTTGCAGAGCTTAATACAGAGCCACGCCTAGGCTACTTTTAGTTTCAGTTTCCAAACAGTTCTCATTGGCCGACTTAGTTGCTATGCCTATTCATTGGCTGACCTTGTTACCATGCTCTATTCCAGTTCATGAATATACTCTGACATCATTTTCCGACCATTCCAATCTACCAGCTGTTGGCCCATCAGTTTCTTCGCCTCTCTGTTTCTTCAACAAATTCCAGCCTCACCGTTAGTTTATCAAGCTTGTCTCTTTCTTGCCTTTCCCTCCGTACACTCTTCCACTTCCACATACCAATCTCTACAATCCAAATTCTTCAAAAACCTCTCTGCACAACACTTCGGAGTACCATCTGCAAACACGTGCAGCCGCTGTCGCCATCTTTTTTTAAAAAAAAAAAAGTTACAACAGCACTGGAAAAGGTGACTGATGACCGTTTTTCACACAACTTATTGCGGCATCCCCTTGGCCATGTGATCAAAACTCAACCACTGGGCGGTGCCATCAAATCAGTTGTGGAGACAAAATACAGGTATTCCTCAACTTACAACCCCAATTGGTTGTAAGTTGAGGAATGCCTGTGTGTTACAAACATCTAGTTGTAAATGTTCAGAAGAATAACCCACATCACGTATCTGATATTAACACAGTTGAGAAAGTACAGAAATATTTCACAAGAAGAGTTCTCCACTCCTTTACTCGTTGTAGAACACCTTATGCCACCAGACTTGAAATTCTAGAACTAGAAAACCTAGAACTACGCCGTCTTCGGTCCGATTTAAGTATGGTATATAAAATCATACATTGCAATGTCCTACCTGTCAATGAATACTTCAGCTTCAACCACAACAATACAAGAGCACACAATAGATACAAACTCAAGGTTAATCGCACCAAATTTGATGGCAGGAAATACGACTTCAGCAACAGAGTGGTCAATGTCTGGAATACTCTACCTGACTCTGTGGTTTCTTCCCCAAACCCCAAAAACTTTAACCTTAGACTGTCTACCATTGACCTCACCCCTTTCCTAAGAGGTCTGAGGGGGCGCGTATAAGCGCACCAACGTGCCTACCGTCCCTGTCCTATTGTTTCTTTTTTTCTTATTCGTATCCATTTCATGTATTCATAACCATGTTTGTACTTATACCTGTTATCTAATAATCGCTTGACAAAATAATAAATAAATAAATAAAAA